AACTAAATTTTTTACTTTACGCGTAAATTTAATTAAAAAAAAAAAAAAAAAAAAAAAGAAAGAAAAATAATTATTTTAATATGACTTTAAAGCATTTAATTTATTGATATTTTTTATGAACACACATATGTAAGAAGAAAATTTAAAAAGTTGAATAAATCGTGGAAGTATAAAACTGAATACGCAAATATCAAGAATATAAATGGAATGAGGGTTGAAAAGGTTAATTTGGAAATTCATACGATCGGATCGTACTTGTATAAATGTAATCATTGAAAAGAGGGAAAGAGAGAGAGAGAGAGAGAGAGAGAGAGAACAATTTTCGATGATAGTTATTTCTATTAAAAGACAAATAAATTAAAATTCTAATATAAAGATTTATATATAACCATGATTTAACAGATTAAATTCATTGCTCTTAATCATACGAGTATTACTATTATTAGTAATGAAATATGTTCCTGGTTGAAAATGTGGGTAAATAGTGTAAGGACGTTCGTTCGTGTTCGCTAGTATTATTCGCACGTGTCTTAAGTCGAATACTTTTTGTTGTAATTGCTATAAAGAAACAAAGACACAAGCAAGCACGAGAACGAACGAATCGAGCGTGTAGAAATAAACCTAGCACACGTGAAAGTGCGGTTTTAACGATAGAATTGATAAACGTGGTGAAAAGTCCAATAGATAAGTTTAAAACGTTGCACTAAGCGTAAAACTAGCATACTCTTTCTCGCTTCTCAATGTAAAAGATCGGTTAGCCAGGTGTCTGGGCTGCACACCACGAGTTCGTAATTGTGTTTGCACCTGCGAGTCTGAGTTGCATGTATGAGTTGAGAAACGAATGATAGATCGATCGTTCGATGTTAGGTCGTACAAGAGTCATAATCTGAAAATAGTGTGCGTTAGATCGAATATATTAGATCGAGCTAGCAGCTGACTCATAGTTGGAAAACAACCGTTCTCATTTCTCTTAAATTTTCTTCAGTATTCGTCACTTAGATATTTACGAAAAAAGAAATGATAATTTACTCGGGTGAATGTGTTATTTAGATTCAATGAGATATTACGATAAAACGAATTGACGTAAGAGTACACCACACACATACAGGTATTACTTAAATATTTATTAGAGATCGTTATATTCGTTCAGCTTCAATTATTGTTTTATGGATCAAAATAATTGATTCTCATTTTCTTTTTTTTGTTTTTATCTTTCTTAAATCTCACAAATTCGTTCTTCCTTTCCTAACGTATATTTATTATATGTATATTTGTAATAAATAATAGAATGATATTACAAGAAAGATCTTAGATATCGTTGGCCATGACTAACGAAAGGTTAAACGATTATTAGTTATATGATTGGAGTTCTCTCTTTGTCTACACAGGTGCGCTAGTTCGAACAAAGATATTTCTGAGTGCTGACTACTACATATGATTTCTCGTTACCGGCTACCAATTAATATGGCACTCCTTTCAACTTTGTTTCCCTTCAAAACCCTCTTTTTTGATTGTTCCCCATGTAAATAAACGATTAACGTCATTTACATGAGATTTAAAAACGAGAATCAAATTTTCTAAACATCCTCGCGTTCTTAGAAACGTTTAAATGGAAAGCATTATAAATTAATTCCTATGAATTAATATTAAACGATTAGTTTTTGATATTATTATTCAATTTATTGTTTTTATCGGATATAGAATATGATGAAATATTAAACGTTAATGATAGAAAAGAAAAATTAGCTACGTGAATGGGATTATAATTAGACATTTTTTTAATGCTTAAATAGTTGTTATAATAAATAAGATAAAAAAAAATAAAGACAAAATGTATTATTTATTACTATATTTATCTATGAAAAATAAGAAGAGAAATCGTGCGTTACGGTCTAATATCTTCTATTATGATATTTTATCCTTACTCTAATTAGCATTATTTGTGTGTTCTAGCTACCTTGGCCTACATTACTGCATTTGGTCCTTTAAAAAGAAGACGAAGAAGAAAAAAAATAGAAAGAAGGGAGAAAAAGAGGAAGAAATATCGTTCACGATTACGAGCCGTAACTCGTCAACGCCTTATTTAAACCGGCGTCTCGAAACAAGCTCGTTTAAAGATGGAGCAATTTCCATTCATCATTGATTCAACAAAATATAGTCGCGACATATTAAATAATCGGAGCGTAGATTTTTCCTATTAACGTTCCCAACAAACGTTACGTTTAGACATGATATTGACATGAATTTCATTTCAGAGTTAGTTCACATTTTATTTGTATTTGCGATTGAACTTTTTGATTACCATCAACGATAACATATAATTAATCGTATAATTGAATTAGAAATGCAAATTCTTTCTCTCTCTTTTTTTTTTCTCTCATAAATAATCGCTAGAGATAAAAAAAGTAAGAAGATGGAAAATTATAGAACATCTTTCAGGAAAATCATCATTTTAGATAGAAACTTTCTCTATTACGATCATTGCTTATCTATCATCGAAAAATTAGTTTAAAATAGTACTTTCTCATTGACATTACATAATTGCATCTAGTAACGAAGCACGCGACAAATAAGATGTAAGTAATGTTAATTGTTTATACCTATTCATGTACCACGAATATTTCTCAAACTCTCTAGTGGGAAATTAATCTCGTCTAGATAAGGAATAAATTGTTCTCTCCGTACTCTAATTACAATAAAAAAAAGGATATTGCGTTCGGTGTTTATTTGAGGATCGCACCGTATCTTAACTGTAATTGTAACGGACAACCTGGTTCCTTAACTGCAATGAGTACAAGGCTGTAATGCTGCAATCTTACTTTCAGTTACGCTTGTGCTCGTGTTATCCTGGCAACTTCTGCTAAATATTCTCGCTTCTCCCTTTCATACTTTAGCAAGGTCGATCGTAATAAATAATAAAAATGTTTAATATAATATACTTTTATTCCTGTTTCACAATGACAATCAATTAAAATCACATTTTATTTTTTCAATATCCAAACAATATATATATATATATATATCTATATATATAAAAAGAACATCGAGACATTGGCCAATAAGGTGAGATGATAAAATATTTCAAATGTGGTAATGACAATTTCTCGGTGTGATTTATCAATATCACCAAATTTATCATACGTATTACGACAGCATCGAATATATATCTCGTTAAAGACAATAGCTTTCATCCTGTTTGTGGATACCTACGTATATCTATACATATACACAATATCTGTGATTACCAATTTATTTTTGATGATCAGTCGAAAAACATGATATAAATATATTGTTATTAATTCTTCAAAAATATCATCACTTTCTAATATTAAGAATATTTAAATTTATTGAGAAATATGTATATATAGTAATAAAAACAAAACTAAATGATCATTATTTTTAGTTAGGAAAGAAGTTTACGATTCGAATACGGATAATCGTATTTAAAGGTTCGTTACGAATTTCAGGAGTAGACAAGGCGTACACGGCTCGCGATTTCCGTGCATTAATCCGGACAGGATCTCGATGGAAGCTGCACTACGTAATCCGGCTTTTGGTGTATGTGCGAGGTTGAATAACACGTTGAGTAAGCCGACATGCAATATTGGAGCAACGAGTTTACACGTGCTTTCTACACGCACGCATATTTATTATAGACGATAACTTCTCTTCTTGAATAGAAGTCCAGTTTAAACAGATCGCTATTGGACAGATTAGATCGAAGATTATTCATGGATGGACTATTCATTCAATTTTACTATATCGTCAATTGGAAATTCAGAATTTTAGCTAATCCATAGAAAAAAAAAAAAAAAGAAAAACAAAACTACATTTTTTTTTTCTATTACTATCTAATCTTTGTAATTAGTATCTTATGTAATTAAGTGGAGTTAGGCGTTTAAAAATATTCAGCAACTTTCTTCTTAATCAGTAGTTACCCACGATTCAACATATTTCTGTTCGAGTATGTTCCAACCAAGCTTAAAACAACGAGGCCGAGTTAAAATGCATCCTGTTATCTCGTGAATCCTTCGAAGTAGATACCTCTAGATACTTCCAATTTTCTGAAGGAACGTCAACGCGCCGGAAGTATTTCAGAATTCGTCAGTGACGTGCAGGTGGGACGTGAGACGCGAGTAAATTACTCGTTGCTCTTTGGACAAAGACAAAAGTTTCTTCGAACGGCCTTTCCAACTCATACAAATGTTCGTATACTTCTTTGTGGAAAAAAATGCACAACGAGTGATAAATAATTCAATTTTCTATTCGATTATATTGACTTTGAAAATAAAAAATAAAGTAGAGCCGAACAAACCCGAATAAACCCCGGTCCCTGTTATATTGGATTTATGAATATATTTGAGTTTGTGTGGAATAGTTAAAAATATTTAATATTTTTTTTGTATTCTATTTAAAAATGAATTCTCTCATCTCTTAGAGTTTCTCTTTGGAGAATATCAGGTCTATTTGATAATTCATGTCTTACGAATAATTTTACAAATTATTTTGCTCTCTTTCGGATAGATTTATAATGAATATAATCAGAGGAAAACGCGTAACTCTGGCAACAAATTATCATAAATAAGAACACTTCCGACTATGATATATTTGCGTTTAAACAATAATTAACAGTTGCTCGGTAAGAGATATCGATACGGTATAAAGAACACAAGATAAAAAATAGAAAAAGAGGAATCAATGAAGTATGATTCGATACGAGCGAAATTTCACGATATCTTATATACGTAACCAACTCTCAGAAATAATAAAAGAAAATTCTGTTACAGATATCGCGGTATTGCATAAACGTCCCTCTACCAGTTAACAATTTTTCTTCTCGATTTAGTGTTATCCTATTAAACGAGGATATCACGTACGACGTTGGAAAAAGGAAATTTTCTTTACCTAAATATATTTATATAACAACGATCACATTGATTAGTTCTCGTTAATGTTAATTATCATTAAAACATAATAGATATAATCATTTATAATCGTACCTGACAAATTCAAGGTCTCTCCATTTCCAATTAACACTTTGATTGCTAATCTCTGTCGTCACCGGATAAAGACTAACCATACAACAATCGTTTTAAATGATCTTCGAAGAAGCGACGAGCATCTTGTTAGAAACTTAAAAACGTGTTTTTGCTCGATAAATCTTCATAGATCCTCCTATTCCTCCTTCTCTTCTTTCTCCTCTAAAGATCGATATCTTCCAAGTTGATTTATACAATAATTTCAAGAAATCTCAAAAGCCACTTTCCAAAGGATCCTTATTTATTAATCATCTAACACAATGATAAATTATTTAATCGATATAATGATTGGTAGATAAATATTTGGACAAAAAATATTACCGAGTGTCACGCGAGCGAGATATGAAAAATAAATTCTTTTTCGAATATGTGACAAAACACACCTTTTAAGATCACTGTGTCCAATAATAATTACGACACGAGACACGATACAAAGAACAAACAAAAAAAAAGAGTATTGATGTATCAATCGATCGATCGATCGATCACGATCGATCGCGATCGCGTTTGTTTTGCCTGTTGCGTCTCTTGCTCTCGATCTCGTCGCTTCGAACGAGCATCCGCAACTGCGACGGATATTCGAATCGGCGACTTCACCAAGAGGCCGGGGCTCCTTCCTTCCTTCGCTACTCGTTCGTTCGTTCGTTCGTTCGTTTTCTCGCTCGTTCGTTTGCTCGTTCGCTCGTTCACTAGCGCGAGTTACCGCTACTACTATCACAAAACACTATACTTGCTGACTATGAGAGGCTTACACGTACGAGAAAATCATGCGGGTGGGATATACACTTTTTTCATTTCTAACTCAACTGGAACATACACACACACACAGAGAGAGAGAAAGAGAGACATACAAAAATTCATCTTTTTCATACCTCCTACGAAAACTTGATTTCATAGATTCTTACTTCGTAATCCTTGAACAATCGATATCAACCTCCTTTTATTTTCTTTTTTTTCTTACCCAAACACGACCGGTTTTTGATCTTAAATATATGAATAATCAGGAGAAATTTTGAAATCGTAATGATGAGTTTGTATTATTATAAACACCCGTTATTCTACGAAATAGTTTTCATTGTTTTGATTAATCTTTCAGACAATTGTTGAATTTCTTTCTTGACGAGAACAAAATATACCGATTTTCTGTGCAATGAATTTAATTTATTACATCTATTGCTAATACTTATGGTAATACGTTTTGTTTAAATAATAATTACTTATTTATTATATTAACTAGTTTAATATAAACGAATTAAAGAAAATAATTATATTAATTTCGCAAGTAACGAAAATGTATATATATATATTAAAATATTAGTGATTTCATTTTATAATTGCGTAATAAATATAAAAGTTAGATATAGATTGGAGAGAAAATAAAGTACTTAACTATCGGACACGAACGTGAACCACTATCGCATTAAAACATTAAAGTCTTGTCGAATCATAGTCCGTAGCATTGGTCAAACTAGATCTTTCGCAAATTACACAGTGCAATTTTCAATCCGATATGAATTTTGTACACTTCAATGGACACTTCCTTCCTATTCTTTATTGGCATTATTTTATCTTCTTACGTATCTTTTTTTTTTTTGTTAATACAATAACATTTAATTGTTTATACGTATATACCAGAAAAAAAAATTACAAGCTTCGAATAAAAGTTTATTTAAAAAGATCATAATTGGCATAATGTCAGACAAAAAAAATACCCTTTTTCGAAGAAGGAAGAATTTTGTTTTCGCCTTTATTACGACACTTTCGGTTATTACTCTATTATGTAATATCTTACAAGATTGTATATATACGTATGCTCGGTGAAAGGTATTTAAATTTAGCTGATACTAGGACGAGTCTCGGATCGAAGTCCCTCGATCTGGGCATTCCTTATTTAGGATTTTATTTTGATCCTCTCAATTTTTAACAACATCGAATCATTATAATTCTGTATTTATTGCATATCCAATTTGTTATATTACATCTATTAAATCGATCGTTTAAATATAATATTTTCTATTTTGCTTAGATGTTTATATATGTAAAATATATTATTATGATAAGAAAAAAAAAGAAGAATTAATTTTTTTAATTAACTGAAATAACAAAGCGTAACATAGGATACGCGTGTTTTACGATTACTATTTGTTTCTACATACTAAATCTATTCATTTACTTTTTCTAGTTTGTGCAATAAGAGTAAAAAGATGCAATCGATGTTATATGCAAAACACGTACTTTCGTAATCATGTAACAATACTGGGACCGTGAAAGTTAATTTGTCTCGCTGTAAAACCATTATAATTTTTCTTACGTCTTTACGCATTTCGCGTGCCAACCACTTAAGATGCGCGTTTATTTGCATAAGCAAACTAAAGACTCTATTGCTGTACTACTCTTGTATTAATTGTTACGTAATATTAATCTATCGTGTAAGAGAATAAGACATTAGAATGATACTACATATATCATTATATTGAAAATAATAGAGAAAATGATATAGAAAAATATTTCATATTTATATTAATATAATTCATGTGTATGTTATGTAATAGGAATAATATCAATTTCAATGCATATACAAAAATTTATTTCTCTCTTTCTTAATATTTTATAAAAATTAAATATTACTTACACGTAGCATGAAATTTAAAGAGAAACAAGCTAAAAATAATTTTATTTCTATGTGTAATTGTATTTAGTTGTTCTAACTTTTTTCTTCGTCTTTCTTTCCCTTTCTCTCAGTCGTATCACCGATATAATCATATCATCAAACTGACTGAAGAGTTTGTCCAAGAAGTTCTTAGCTCATTGCTAAGAGAAATGAACACTCTTGTTGAAACGAGGCAAGGGTGAAGGTCAAGCTAGTTGCGAGACCGATGCTCGTCGAATCGTTCTTGCAATCTTATACACATAATTTCCAATCGAGTTCTAGTTAACGATAAATTTCATAAACATTTTGCGGATGAAAAATATTAATAATATAGATTATATCCATACGACATTTTCGTTTTCATGAATAAAAGGATTATTTTTTTATATTTCACGAGAGAAAGATTATATATTGTGTGCAACAAAAGAAAACAAAACGAAATGATTATACGTCATTTCAGAGATAATATTTTAAATCGTTTTCTTTTTTTTTTTTTCGATAATTATTAAAAGGAGAAAACAAGAGATCAATCGTGGTTCAGAGCTCATAGATTTATTTACATATACTTGCTATATTAAATAGAATGATAATTAGAAAAAAAAAAAATACTTTCCTGCGATGTCAATAAGTACGTGATAGAATTGAAATAATTTGATATCTTTCGTAATAAATTGAAAGTTTCTAATGGATTAGATTGGACGTGTCTCAAACGTATTCTGGTCAATGTCACGTTTACTAGCTTTTAACAGTGAAACTTGCGATGAGTTGAGTTAACATCGACGAATGTTGACATACATAAATTGCAGGTAGATTTCGATATAAATGATTATCTCGAAGATAATTAATATGACAGATTAATTCACAAAATTTCTAAATATTTCTTGTTTAATTGAAAGTTAATTGAAATTTATTAATTATCAGTTGTGTATCAACGTTTCAATAAGTTTCGTTCTTCTCTCAATGAAAATATAAGAAAAAAAAAAATATCTTATAAAGAAAAATTCATTATTCGCATAATATCAACAATTGACTGAATAATGAACAATGTAATAAGCATTTGTGAGCTAAGAAAACAAAAGTACCGTTATTTGATAGGAATATGAAAGTCTTTTCGACTTGTAATATGAATAAATGATAATAAGAAACGTAGTAAACGATGTCAAGGTACGATAAGAATATATTTATTTGCAGAAGCAATGCTTAAGATTGTTCAGAATCATAGATTAAATAATTTCTAATCCTGAATACTTTAATATGCACAAATTATTCGTTTTTTTTTATTTTTTTGGATTAAAACGATACAAAAGTGATTCGAATAGTTGAAGAATGCATAGGATTCTTCTTATCGGTATGCGAACGACGCATAATTGTGATCTCTTTTTCCCAAGAACGAAAATAAAACGATAAAATGTGAAGAGAGCAAAGAGCATTGAACGAAACTTCCTCTTCTTAAAATGTCTCGCACAGCTAAATTGTACAGCTTTATTATTTGCTTCCGTGCGTTCCACGAAATCTGAGCAAACAATACTTCTTTATCACTATTAAGATGTCTGATTCATATAGGAAGATATAAATATAATATTTTACATTTTGTTTATAATTCATCTTTAGTTTAATTTTTTTATTTCAATCTTCTTCCCGGATCATTGCTCTGGAATTGTTACTTATGTGATTATACTGAAACTTTTGTATCGTCTACAAATCTATATCGTTGTAATATGCATTTTGATTTCATTATTATATGTATATTATATTTCTGTGAATTATATTTATAATTTAATGTGATATGTGTGAGTGTGTGTGTGTGTGTGTCAAAAAATCCGAGCTGTAATTATTTTTTAATTATTAAGCCCTCGTTTGACAAAATTACAGTAAAAAAAAAATTATGTTTTTAATAAATTTATAATGAACTGCTTGAAAATATATATTCTAACAAGCGACATTTTTTTAATATTAAAATTGTCATACAAGAAAAAAAAAGGACAAAAAAATTAAATTGAATATCTAATGAAACATTCGTTCATTTAATTATATATTTATGTATAAAAAATTTGTAAAATAAATTACAAAAGTTTCGTTACCATAAATGTATCTTATTGATACTTACCGATGCTGTTAATTATTGATCGGTAAATTAGATAATGTAGATGGCGTGGCTGCAAATTTCTTCTCATTCTTTATCTCTTGAGTAAAACTCCATCATATTTATCCATCGAGCAACGAAACTTTCTACCGATGGCGTTCTTATATGTTTCCCAATTCAAAACACCATGATAGTTTGAATAATAATTATTAAAAAAAAAAATAAATGTCTTCTAGTCAAAATAAAATCGAATTAATCGATCGACTAATTTTAAAAAAATCATAGAAAAATCAATAACTCAATAAATCATTAGAAATAACAATTAAACTAATAAATAAAATCCACATATATGGTATACATAACAATTAAAGATAATAATATTTAAAAAACAAAATGTTTAGAATCAAAGAAAATACATTATATATTATAAAGATATATTCATTTTATAAATATATACAAAGAAAGAAAAAAACGAAAAAATTGTTCCTATCAAGTATTCCACTTGATTTATCAACAATCTCTACCCTCGTAATTTTTGTTTCAGTGGTAGTATTTAAAAGGTACGTAATCATGCGTGCAAGCGAGTACGTGCTGGCAGGCGCACGCGGTCGGCGTTGTAACGTGACCGAGTCAAAGCGTCCATGAATGAAAAATTTCGGTTATAGCATAATGAAGAGGTTCTCTCTCTCCTCTCTTCGGCCACTTGAACGCGACGAGTTCCGTGCATAATGCGAGGATACGAAAGTCACCCATGTAAAACACGGGCTCTCCTACTGGAACGAATGGAAGGCGCTGAACCATAGATGTGTGTGTGTATGTATATATATATATATATATATGCTTTGCAACGAATAAATTTTTATCGAAAATAACTCTTACGAAAAAAATTCAAAAAATCGTTTATACTCTTTATTAATATAATATTTAAATTATATTGTGATATT